CAGTTAGTTGTCTCAAAGCGGGTGTGTCAGCCCTACAGCGTGTACTCTGCAAGTACGCTGCCACCTCCTCTACTCCTCCTACTCCATCCTCTTCCATAACCTCCTCGGCTTAGTCCTCTTCTGCTGCTGCATCTTGCTCCACATCAACGGATAGGGGGGCGTAACAGTGATTAAACTGATAACAATAGTACTAAACACACCACTCACTCACTGGTGTCACAATAGCTTGGATTTAAAAACAAAAAACTTTTTTCACTGTTATAGATTGAATGGCAGTTAGTTATCTTCAAGCAGGTGTGTCAGCCCTACAGCGTGTACTCTGCCAGTACGCTGCCACCTCCTCTACTCCTCCTACTCATCCTCTTCCATAACCTCCTCGGCTGAGTCCTCTTCTGCTGCTGCGTCTTGCTCCACATCAACGGATAGGGGACGTAACAGTGATTAAACTGATAACAATAGTACTAAACACACCACTCACTCAATGGTGTCAAAATAGCTTGGATTTAAAAACAAAAAACTTTTTTCACTATTATAAATTGAATAGCAGTTAGTTATCTTCAAGCAGGTGTGTCAGCCCTACAGCGTGTCCTCTGCCAGTACGCTGCCACCTCCTCTACTCCTCCTACTCCATCCTCTTCCATAACCTCCTCGGCTTATTCCTCTTCTGCTGCTGCGTCTTGCTCCACATCAACGGATAGGGGACGTAACAGTGATTAAACTGATAACAATAGTATTAAACACACCACTTCTATCTGGTGGCACATTAGATTGCACGCGCAGTGCCCCAAATTTGATGTGATCTGTGAGTAAGGTAAACGGTTGTCCATACAAGTAGGTTGCAGCTTTTTGAGGGCCCACACCACCGCTATGCACTCCTTTTCAATGGCAGTGAATATACTTCGCTGTGCAAAAGTTTACGGCTTAGATAAGCCCGGGTTGCTCGCCACCATCTGCTCCAACTTGGCTCAGTACTGCTCCCAATCCAAGCATAGAAGCGTCTGTATGGACGAGAAAGTGTTTAGTTGGATCAGGAGAAGAAAGTACAGGTGATTTAATGAGCACCGTCTTGAGCTGTTGGAAGGCCTGTTCACACTCTGGGGCCCATACTACTATCTTGGGAAGGTTTTTACACGTTCCTATATGGCACTTACTGGGCTTTAGGGTCAGTCCGGACTCCCTAATCCGGTCTATTACGGCCCCTATGTGGGTCAGGTGTTCGGGCCAGGAGCAGCTAAAAATGTCTATACCATCCAAGTAGGTGTGTATTGTGTGTATCAGGGATCCTTAGACAGGTGCCAATCCATATCTGCCAAGTGACCCATGTTGGGGTAACATTCCCTCATTCACTTGTGTCAGTGTGTATCAGGGATCCCAGGGACAGGTGTCAATCCATTCGCCAAGTGACCTGATGTTGGGGGTAACAGTCTCTATTCTGCTCTGTGTCAGTGTGTATCATGGTCTCTGAGGACAGGTGTCACTCCATATCTGCCAAGTGACCCTATGTAGGGGAACAGTCTCTATTCTGCTCTGTGTCAGTGTATCATGGTCTCTGAGGACAGGTGTCAATCCATATCTGCCAAGTGACCCTATGTAGGAGGAATAGTCTCTATTCTGCTCTGTGTCAGTGTGTATCAGGGGCTCTGGGGACAGGTGTCAATCCATATCTGCCAAGTGACCCTATGTAGGAGGAACAGTCTCTATTCTGCTCTGTGTTGGTAGTGTACTAGATCCCTAGGACAGGTGTCAATCCATATCTGCCAAGTGACCCTATGTAAAAGGCCTGATGAGATGAGCCGCCTTGGGCTAAAATGGTCCACACGCTGCTGTATTTTAGCTCTGGAAATGCCTGTTGACTTCAGTGACTTATCCGCCACCAACTTGGGTTCAAGCCTCCAGTGTGTACTTTATAAATGGCTTTATAAAAGCAGTGTGTACTTTATAAATGGCTCCACCTGCCACCCGTACAGCAACACAGTCTCCAGTTAGGAGGACCAACCAAGCATCTTCTTCCATCTGCCTGTTACAGAAATTACTGCCGTGTACACTACCACTGATAGGAGACGCGGAAGGTATTAAACTGATAAAAATAGTACTTAACATTCCACTCCTATCTGGTGTCACATTAGCTTGACAGCGCAGTGCCCCAAATTTGCAGTAAGAGGACCGACCAAGCCTCTTCTTCCATCTCCCTGTTACAAAAATCGATGCCGTGTACACAACCACTGATAGGAGACGCGGAAGGTATTAAACTGATAAAAATAGTACTAAACACACCACTCCTATCTGGTGTCACATTAGCTTGACCGCGCAGTGCCCCAAATTTGCAGTAAGAGGACGACCAAGCCTCTTCTTCCATCTCCCTGTTACAAAAATCAATGCCTGCACACTGCCCTACCTGATAGGAGACGGAAGGCATTAAACTGATCAGAACAATACCTAAACATTACCCACTCCTTTTTTTGGTGAGGCTTTATTATGACAGAGTGCTTCCATCGGGATATCTTTAATCTCTGGCAGCTGGCCCATCATGAACCACAGCAGCTTTCTCTATGTACAGGTAAAGCACACGCGCAGCCGTGTGGCTCAGTATTTTCTTCCGGAGGATAATGCAAGCCTGTTGAACGAGGTGACCTTGCTCGGGTCCCAGGTGTACGGTTCCTAAAATGGCTGCCATATACCCGTCCACTGATAGGAGACGCGGAAGGTATTAAACTGATCAGAACAATACTAAACACACCACAAATAAGGTTTCTCTCCTGTATGGCTCCTCAAATGATGTTTAAGATTAGAAGCGGCTGAAAAGCATTTCTCACACTCCGAACAAAAATATATTTTTTTAACATTCTCTCCACTTTGAGCGAAATGACGTTTGGGAAGAGATTAACATAATTAAACACAGGCAGTAAAAATACAGTTTTTAGCCATACACTGTAACTTTAAAACTACACATCCCATCTTCATAATTACATATTTGGAATCAGCACACTTAAAACATAAACATAACCAAAAATCAGCCAAATCCATCCAGGGGTTAAAAAGTTAGCTGGAGGTCCCTTTATGACCGACCGCAAGCACATTTTCCTGCCCAAAACAGTTCCATAGATTTGGGCTGTGAGGTGGGTCTATTTCAGGCTGAAAAAAAGACTAAGTCCCATCGCCGAATGGGACTTAGTCTCTGCAGCTGAAATAATTTCCCATTTACTGAACCAAGTGGGAAATAGCAAGGCAGGCACAAAGGGTTTGCACCAGGTCTGGGGACACAGGGGACACCGTCTTAAAGGGGCCGTGTCCCCAACAAGTCTGGGGACACGGCCTTAAAGGGGCAGTGTCCCAATCTTCCTGATGTCCCAAAAAAGGTGTTTAAAGGGCCAGCACCAGTCACATAAAGAGTCCATAAGCCCCAATATGCCCACCGACAGTCTTAAAGGGCCATACACACCAAATAAAAGTGCATACATTTTCACAATCTCCCAGGGGCCATAGTCATGCGGGAGGAGGCTGGCAAATAGGCTTCTCCACAACCCAGGGAAGCAGGGCAATTTGCCATTTAAAGGGCCCGTTACAAATAGCAGTTTGTAACAAGGTGTCAATCCATATCTGCCAAGTGACCCGATGTAGGGGACCAGTCCCTATTCTGCTCTGTGTCAGTGTGTATCAGGGAACCTTAGGACAGGTGTCAATCCATATCTGCCAAGTGACCCGATGTAGGGGGAACAGTCCCTATTCTGCTCTGTGTCAGTGTGTATCAGGGATCCTTAGGACAGGTGTCAATCCATATCTGCCAAGTGACCCTATGTAGGGGACCAGTCTCTATTCTGCTCTGTGTCCGTGTGCATCAGGGGCTCTGAGGACAGGTGTCAATCCATATGTCAAGGTGTCAATATGTCATATGTCAGGTGTCAATCCATATTGATTGTGATTTAGGAATGTTAGGTGATTTCTACCCTTTATGGATTAAAACCAGACTCTGTATCAACTGTGTAATTTTCCATGGGAGTTTTGCCATGGATCCCCCTCCGGCATGCCACAGTCCAGGTGTTAGTCCCCTTGAAACAACTTTTCCATCACTATTGTATCCAGAAAGAGTCCCTGTGTGTTTTAAAATTCGCCTGCCCATTGAAGTCTATGGGGTTTCGGGCGGTTCGCCGGTTCGCGAACATTTGCGGAAGTTCGCGTTCGCCGTTCGCGAACCGAAAATTTCGGGTTCGCGACATCACTACCAGTGAGTGAGTGGGGGCACTGGGCACAGTATCCACTGTGAGCCTGACACACCCACTTTGAGACAACTAACTGCTATTCCATCTATAAAAGTGAAAAAAGTTTTTTGTTTTTAAATGCAAGCTATTATGACACCAGATATGAGTGGCACTGTGAACTGGCAGAGTACACGCTGTAGTGCTGACACACCCGCTTTGAGACAACTAACTGCTATTCAATCTATAACAGTGAAAAAGGTTTTGGGGTTTTTAAATGCACGCTTTGAGACAACTAACTGCTATTCAATCTATAACAGTGAAAAA